ACCCAGTAAGCAGGACAGCTTTGAGTATTGCATGGCTGTTGATTGGCTGGATTGTCTTCCACACAGAAAACGTCTGGAATATCTATCTTATTTCCCAATGCCAGCAATTGTTTACAGGATACATCACGACTTTGAATACCATCTCCACATGATTGGCTACACTGTAATAAACAGTTTGTAATGCTGTTAATCAAAAGTATGTTGCCATAGAAACCATTCCACATGCATCATTTGAACAACATACTGACCAATAGCATTGCGGTAGTTCATCTCAAAACATGTTGCTGTTTCCAGCCTCTAGTAAATACTCAGCTCATAAAAACTACTTTCAATATTTTTAATGTGCATCTTTGATTTAATATAATGTAAGAGAAAGTGCTGATCATCATTTGGTGAAAAAAAACGAATTCTATACAGAATAGAAAACTATGAAGACCACCGCACAATCCTGGTCTAGCAATCATATTCTATTAAACGTTGATTGTGGAAAAATGATCACCTTGAAGAATGAGACAATTCTTCAAAAACAACAATTTTGAGGCAAGTAATATTATGCGCATATGGTGTTGAAAATGCTTGCTGTGTCAGGTTGTGTCATTGGGTTGACTCAGTCTGTGTTTTATGGCATAGCAGCAAAAATTACTATACATGACATAGTCCCTGTTATCAATTTTAACAATCTTGAGAATGACATACATGTAAAGTGCTCCTTTAATTTTCAGCCATGACTAATAGATAAATTAACAATGTCAAAAGAAAAGTATCTAGCTTCAGTATTTGGAAAACATATTTATATTATTATAATTTTGAAGATCAAAATACTAATAGTTAAATCATCTAAGGCCATCTTCTTTTGAAAACTGTGAGCTGAAGGATGTTGAAGAGGAAAAAGTTTTTGTGAATAATGAACAAAATAAATTTCAAATGTAAGAACCCTAGAACTGAATTGACACCAAAAACAAGTTAAAAGTGATATACAAAGTAGTCACTGTGTTGTATAATGTTCTGTATGGGTGGATCCTGGAGACCGTATTAACATTTAAGCCAACATGATTAATTCAAAACCCATTGTCGGAACTACACATAGCCCAGTTATACACAATTTATCCATTTGTTGTGAGATCATTGGCAGTAAACTTCTAAACACCACTTCAAGCGGTCTTATTTTATGCAATGTATACAAAAAGTGTAAAATGTGTTGTTTACACCAAGTGTGAAGATTGTATTACTTTATGCTGTGACCAAAACAAAAATTTAATAGTACCAATTGATGAGCAAAAAATACAAGCTATAAAATATAATGAAACTTAAAATTACAGATTCATGTGTGACATCTTGAGATTACACTTACTTCTGACCACTCAGTAACTTCCCAGTTCGGCGGACAGTCAATGTGATTACACATCTTTGTAATATTGGGTTTTGGTTCAGTACAGAAATCTTCGGGTACACGTATAGTATTACCACTACCAGTCGCCAAAATCTGGATGCATTCAATAACGGCTTGTTGTACACCACCACCACAACTAACTGAACAGTCATCATATTGTATAGCATCCCATCTATCACATGGAAAGAAATACTATATTTAATATGATGCCAGGAATAACCGTCATTTTCAGGATAATCAAGAATACATAAATATGGTGCCTGGATCCAATAGGAATAGATACAAGCATTCATTTAAATAAACGCTTGATCAATGATAGCCCAAATATAGCTACATATACGAGTATGTTTTGTTTTTTGAATTCCAGAATTCTTTTCCTTAACTTAGAAGGCCTCCAAAATAAATCAGTTACCATACATCATTTTCATATGGTATATGATCATTTTTTTAAATATTTTAATTTGTTCCTGGTGAAGATTTCATTCAACACCATCATTGTCTTTTGTGACTTTGCAAATCTCAAATGATTATATATAAAACTTACGGCAAAATTAACCCTAGATTGACTAGTTTTTTCACTTTTGACCAATGAGATCAATGAGCGCAGGTTATTTTTAAAAGTTCACATGAATCCTGCTATATAAGGCCAACTTTGTATTATGTTGCTTACTGCTTCTTTAGGATTCCAGTCTGTTATTTACTTGTATTGCTGTGGGTAATACTATGAGGTGTTTACAAGGATACCTCAAACTATGCGCGAAGACAGTACAGCGGTATCGACCGATGTGCAGCGCAAGTAGATGTGACGTAAAATACCGCAAAATTCGGCACGCTGTAACTTATGGCGTTATGGTGATAGATCTATAATAATATA